TAAGTAGCTGAAATCATGTAAATAGCCTGGGAATAAGAGTCTTATTTTTATTCTCTGCACAGCAAGTTAGAACCCTGTTCTGCTCTTGCTTTTTCTTTCCTTTTTTTCCTCTTTGCTGTGCTTGCTGCTGTGTGTCCTGATGACAGGTGATCATCTATTACTCTGTTTACTTCCCTCTGATTCTCCCATAAGCACCTTAACCATTCCCTTCTAGTGGATGAATGTCAAATGCAAATCTGATTATGTCACTTACCTGTCCTTCCAGGACTCTATTATTTACACCTCGTGGTTTGAAAAGTGACAGTATTCACCCCGGGGTGGACACAAGTAATTTTTTTACATACAGAAAGAAAATTTGGAAATGTTTGGTACATGCTTTTAATTTGAAAGTAATTTAAAGTCAACAATGAGGGCATAATGTTTTAGATATTTGACTTTGGTCAAATTGTTTTTATCACATCCCCTAGACATAGTACTGTATGTAGTTCCCTTTATATACTGTGAGTTGTTTGTGCCCTTCTGACTGGACTTTTGCTGTTTACTCCTATACTTTACATGGAAAGGCTAAGCATCTTTGGCATTTCAGTGGAGTTGAAACTGAACACGAAATAGGACTATATTTTCTCATTCTTTGTTATGCCAGTCTATATTGAACTTGGTTCCAAATTAGTTCAACTCACACTTTTTTTTCAGGAAGTATTTATATTTATGTCTTCATACTATATCATAGATTCCTTGGAGGAGTAGAATTTTCTTCATCCTTTTATCTGTAGCAAGAATGATGGTCTATATCTGTAAAGTGGCTTTGTAGTAGTATTTTTTGTAATTAATAATTCATTATAGTTGCAGAATCTTCCTGTTGTGATTTTTCTTCTACCATATGGAATACTGTACGTGTTGTAAGATACATATGTACATGCACCCACAGAATTATGAAGTTCCAGATTTCCATTTTGNCAGCAAGCATCAGAGAATTCACACAGGTGAGAGACCATATGAATGTAAAGAATGTGGAAAAACCTTTAATGAGAAGTCAAACCTCAACGTGCATAAGAGAATTCACACAGGTAAGAAACCATATGAATGTAAAAAATGTAAGAAAGCTTTCAGCCAGAAGTCACACCTCAGCTTACATGACAGATCTCACACAAGTGAGAAACCATATGAATGTAAAGAATGTGGAAACTCTTTCTACTGTAAATCACAACTCAATGTACATCAGAGAATTCACACAGGTAAGAAACCATATGAATGTAAAGAATGTAGAAAAACCTTTCATGAGAAGTCAAACCTCAACAAGCATAAGAGAATTCACACAGGTGAGAAACCATATGAATGTAAAGAATGTGGAAAAACTTTCTACTGTAAATCACAACTCAATGTACATCAGAGAACTCACACAGGTAAGAAACCATATGAATGTAAAGAATGTGGAAAAACCTTTCATGAGAAGTCAAACCTCAACAAGCATAAGAGAATTCACACAGGTGAGAAACCATATGAATGTAAAGAATGTGAAAAAACTTTCTACTCTAAATCAAACCTCAGTGTAC